ATATTAGTATGTCGATAATTCTAATTCTAATAATATATAATAATCCTTGTAGTATAATTTTGTCTATATAGGTTCCCGTATTGATATGGCCCCATTCAATGGCCTCATCCATTTTATGGATTTTTGAAAAGTTTGACTGCATTATCCTTTTATCCACGGTATTACAGGTATTTGTATTTCAAAGTGGAATACGTTTGAGTCCAAATACTTTAATATACAAATATTTTTTTTTACCCAATGGTGGAAGGAACTAAAAGTTCGACACGGCCGAATTAAATATTGTTTTTTTACTTCTTACTTTTCACTTATTAATGCCAATACTAAAATTGCAAGTTTGCAATTTAACTTAAGAAAAAAATGTTTATAAAAATCGAGCGGTCAGGTTTTAACAGAATACTATTTTCTTCTACTGGACGATGGTTCTATTACTTATTCGTTACTTGTTGGGCTTAATATAATAATAAGCAAAATTCGCCAAAAGATTATAAAAAAGAATCAGAGAAAATAATTCTAATTAAAGAACTTTCACAATTTATTAACAAATGCCTTGCAACCAAAAAATTTCCCCGAAGTCAATTAGACGTTACACCAATGCGATAGAAATCATCACGGTTGATATCCTTCTCCTTTCACGCGAAAGTTGCATTCTTCGGAAAGAAATGAACCACGCCCGCGATAATTTTAAGCTTGACTATATAGAGCACACAGCGTAACTTGTAATAATCACGGAAGTAATTTCCTCAACAGTAACTGAAAGTAAAAAAAAATAATTGTATTATTTTTTATTTATTTTCACCCCCATATTATGGAGGGTATATTAAGTTTGTCATTCCGTTTGTAACACATTTTAGAACCCACAAAGTGTGTATATTATTGTTCAGCATAAAATTCTATATCGATTTAGCGATGTCCGTCCGTCTATCCGTCGGTCCCTCTGTGGAAATCACTCTAGCTTCAGAACGAATTGAAGAAGATTAATACAATTTTACTCAAATGTATATTATGTCTGCAGAACTTTTGGTATTGAAAATGGGTCATGTACGTCCACATTTTAGTAGTGCCACCATACAACGGTACTCCCGATATTCCGTATTTTGATGATTTTAGCGACAATATTCATCGGAATTGTTTCAAATTTGTTGTTCGAAATTAGAAATTGAAGCAACAGCCTATGACAGGAGATTGTATGTGCAGGTCCTCGTCTTCGTATAGCCCGGTACCTCCCGATATTCGGAATTTTGATGATTTTATCGAGATTTTTCACCGGAATTGTTTCAAATTTGGTATTTGAAGTTCATAATGTATAATACAGCCTAAGGCACAAAATTGTCTGCGTAAGTTCACGTCTTCGTATAGCCCCCATATGACGGTACCTCCTGATATTCGCTATTTTGATGAATTTTGCGACATTATTTACTGGAATTGTTTCAAATTTGGTATTTGAAGTTAGTAATGGATAATACAGCCTAAGACATAAAATTGTCCGTGCAAGTTCACGTCTTCGTATATCTCCCATATAACGGTACCTCCCGATATTCTGTATTTTGATGATTTTAACTGAATTATTTACCGATTTTTTAAGTTTCACATTTCAATATTGTAATGGCTTATGACAAAAGCTAGCTATGCAGGTCCATGTCGTCGCACTGACCCTAATATAACAGCTACATTCAGTATTTTTAAGATTTTAACAGAATTAACGGATTTTGTTGTTTTTGAGAATTGCCAAATTCGTTCCAAATGTTGGAGGGTATTCAAAGTTCGACCCGGCCGAACTTACAGATTTTTTACTTGTTTTTACTTTTTAGGGGTACTTTTTCCAATGTACGCTTGGATAGAACTTATACACTCACACATTATTTTTTTCGTTTTAAAAACGTGATATCTTGTTTGGTAATTGGACTGGGGTGCACCATAGTGTCATATAATCCTCACATAAAGTCTAATTTTTTTCAATTCGTAAATAATTGTAATCTATCGATATTTTATCCAATGGAAGTCACAAAATGACCGCACACGCGACACCTTCTTAAATTTTACTTGGCGTCACTAAAGATAAGGGGGTAGAGGCCATTTCAACCTTAATATAAAATACAATGCTGTGCAATAAAATACGATGATGTCGTATTTGAAGTTCGTAATGGATGGTACATTATTCACCGTTTATTTCAAGTTTAGAATTTTAATATGGTAATGGTTTATGACGCCGTATAGACCCCAATATAACGGCTACATTCGGTGTTTTTAAATTTTTAACAGAATTTTTTAAGAATTTTATTTTTTGAAAATTTTTAATTCGTTCCAAATGGTGGAGGGTGTTCAAAATTTCGGCCCGGCCGAACTTACTGCTTTTTAACTTGTTTTTTTTTTTAAATTCTCAGCTAGAATTTTTTTTCTTTCGGGGAATCTAGGTGAATGTGAATTGTAAAGAAAACATCTTTATATAAAAGTATCTGAATTCAAACGAGTTCCACTATAACTACAAATACTGGTCAGACGGTTCGAATGTTGATAAACTAAAAAAAAAACAAGTAAAAAAGCTGTATGTTCGGCCGGGCCGAATTTTTACGACCCTCCACCATTTGGGACGAATTTGTCAGTTCTCAAAAACAATAAAACCCGTTAAAACTTATGTTAACATCTTAAAAGCACCGAATGTAACTATTATATTAGGGTATATACGACGACATGAACCTGCGTAGGTAACATTTGTCATAAGCCATTACAATATTCAAATGCGAAACTTAAAAAAAATCGGTTATAATGTCGATAAAATCAAAATACCTAATAACGGTGGGTACCGTTATATGGGGGTTATACGAAGACGTGGACCTTTACAGACAATTTTCTGTCGTAGGCTATAGTATCCATTACGAACTTCAAATATCAAATTTGAAACAATTCCGGTGAAAAATGTCCCTAAAATCATTAAAATGACGAATATCGGGAGGTACCGTTATATGGGGGCTTTACGAAGACGTGGACCTTCACAAAAAATTTTCTGTCGTAGGCTATAGTATCCATTACGAACTTCAAATATCAAATTTGAAACAATTCCGGTGAAAAATGTCCCTAAAATCATTAAAATGACGAATATCGGGAGGTACCGTTATAAGGGGGCTTTACGAAGACGTGGACCTGCACAGACAATTTTCTGTCTTAGGCTGTAGTATCCATAATGACTTTCAAATACTAAATTTGAAACAATTCCGGTGAAGAAATTCGCTAAAATCATCAAAATACCGAACATTGGGGGTACAGTTATATGGGGGCTATAACAAAACGTGGACCTACATGGCCCATTTTTAATACCAGAAGTCCTGCAGACACAACATACATGAGCAACATTTTATCAATCTACTTCAACTCGTTCAAAAGCTAGAGTGATTTCCACAGACGGACGGACATCGCTAAATCGACATTGAATTTTATTCTGATCAAGAATATGTATACTTTGTGGGGTCTAAAATGTGTATTTCGAGGTGTTACAAACGGAATGACAAAGTTAATATACCCTCCATACTATGGTGGAGGGTATAATAAAGCGGGTGAGGCCGTTATATAGGGCCATACCAATGCCGGAACCTCCATAGACAATTTTATACTGCAAGAATTGTCATCTACCAAATTTTCTTAAATACCAAATTTGAAACAATTTCGTCGGTAAATGTGACTAGGATTATCGAAATTGTGACTGGTATCGTTATATGTGCGCTATTGGAAAACGTTGACCTAAATATTAAATTTTCTGTCACCGGAGCTAGAACCTACAAATAAATGCCAATTTTTAGACAAACCATAAAAATTATCAAAATACCGAATATTCGGAGGTACTGCTTTATGTCGGCTATACCAAAACGTGGACCGATATATGTCATTTTCAATACTTACCTTCCTAGACACAATACAAATTGTTCTGCCAAGTTTTGAAGCTGTACGTCAATAATATGGGCTGTATCGTGATTTCTACAGACAGGTAGACAGACAAACGAACATCGTTAAATCAACTTAGAATTTTATGCTGATTATGAATTGTAATTACGATAGAGGTCGCCATATTAACAAAAGTCAGATTTATGATTTATTCCCAACTCACCAGTACCTCTTTATATTCGTTGTATTATCGTATTTAATTACATTTTCCAACCTCAATTATTAGTATTATACAAAGTTCTTAGCAATATATTCCAAAATAAAGGTAATTTTGAATTTATAACATTTAGAAGACCATGTTGTAGGTATTTAGTTTTGTCAACCCTACGTATTCTAGATCAGGGTTAAATCCTATGTCCTATAAATCGTATATTATATCGCAATATTTAGGATACTCTATGAACCTTTATACAATATTCCTAGGATGATTGTAAAATATCCTTCTCGTTTATCTTTGTTCGCAATTTTTCAATAAGAATTTTCAATTTTAATAGCATTTTGAAACGATTCTACACAAAATTCTATATCAAAAAATAACTTCCGAGTTTTTTAGCTTGGCGACTTTTCTAAAAGCTTTTTCCGAAATTTGCTCTCGTAAAATCTTTCCACTGTAATTACAAATAACCGAAAGAACATTTGAGTTAAATCGGTCCAGCGGTTTTCAACTGATTCAACTACCAACATAGGCATGGTCAGTTCCTCAGCCCCCAAATAAATACTTAGGTTTGAAGGGAAAGTCAAGAGCATCTTGTGTAATATTTTTAAACCGATATCTCCGTTATTTTAAAAAATGTAAGGATTTTAGATAAATCAGAACAGTGTTCGTAAAAGTAGGCGTGGACAATATATATTTCTATAAAAATCTAACTCATGGTATGACGAACGTTTGTAAAAAATGTATATATGCGAATCGGCCCAGCCGTTCTCAACTAATTTAATTACCAACGAACAACAATTAATATATAGATATAGATATATAGATTTTCAAGACATAATTAATGTAGAATGTGAAAAAATTACAGTACATTCATATTTATATATATACATTTTTTTAATTCTATTTATAGGTTGGATGCACGCACTTGCTGAACGATTGAAAATATCAACAACAAATATTTCCAACGCAGAAGCTTATTCGACAGCACTGTATTTCACATTTACAAGTCTAACATCTGTTGGATTTGGCAACGTTTCAGCCAACACAACTGCCGAAAAAGTTTTTACAATCATTATGATGCTAATCGGAGGTAACGTCTTTCCTAGTAAAATATCATAATTGTCACAAGTATCTACTGACCGTAGGTCTATATCTTTCTTTTACATCTAATGTGAATAAGACTTGCCATTGTGACGTTACACAAAAAGGGAAATTAATTTATTTCATCATTGTCACTAAACCGTCATAGATAGATTATCATAAGATTCGCATTGAGAGTTATAAGGAGTATTTGTTAATGTCACTTTAGCAATGCACCACATATATTTCACTGCATTGAATTAAGAGACTTAAAAAAATCGACCAGCTTAAGTTTAGGATTTCTTCATATACCCGCGCTTCTTCTAAAATATTGTTTTAGATCGGATATGTGCACAATTGCGCGTCGGGTTCTGCAGTTGCATGGAGACCATTAGTAAACACATGGTTTTGGCACTTTCATTTACTTTTGTCAGGAGAATTTCTACATTGTATACCTCATTATGTAAAACTTTTATCATTTGGAAGTGAGTTTCTCAATCCCTCTCCTAAACGCCACTTCGGCTATACTAGTTGTCTGGTTAATGTCCGACAGTTTCTAAATTACAATAATAAAACTACTGTTTTTTATTTTCTATTGTCAAGGTGTTACTACTTAGTGGCGTCAATGAAGACAAAATAATGGGTATCGCGTGCAGACACTTTTACGTGACTTCCATCAGGAATTATTTACGAATTGAACAAAACAAAAAAGACTTCATTTTATCTGAGGATTATAAGACTTTATAGTGCAGTGGCAAGCATACTCGCTTTGCCTCTGAACACCTGTGTTCGATTCCCACCACAGACATCACATTTTTTAAACGACAAAATTAATGTGTAAGTATTTCAGCTGATTGGTATAAGTTCTGTGCAAGCGTACATTCGAAAAAGTACCAATTTCAACCTCCCTTACCGACTGCTTGCATACCATGCATGAATTTGGAAGGTTGTCACTCTTTCCCTAATAAATGCGATAGTATGTAAATTTACAATAACAAAACTATTGCTGTTGAAAGACAACCTATATAGACAATTTTATACCTCCAGGATTGTTATCTATTGCAAGTCTTAAAAACCAAATTTGAAACAATTTCGTGATTAAATGTGAAGAATATCGAACGTGGTCCTAGATATTCATGTGGACCTAGATATTCACTGTTCTGCCACCGACGCTAGAACCTGCTATGAACTACAAATACCAATTTTTGGACAAAATAAAAATTGAACAATGGAATGGAAGTGGAAAAATGTGGCAAAACTCTCAGAATTTCGAATATCGGTAGGTACCGTTATATGGTGGCTATATAAAAACGTGGACCAATATGCGCAATATTCTTCCACGGGAGCTGGAAACCATAACGAACTACAAATACCAATTGTAAGACAAATCCGCAAAAATTCGACTAAAACCATCAAAATACCGAATATCTGATAGTACCGTTATATTAAGACTCTTTGCAAACGTGGACCTATATGCACAATGTTCAGTCACCGGAGCTGGAATCCTTTAAAACCTACAAAGGTCAATTTTTTCACAAATCTGTAAAAATGTGACTAAAACTATCGAAATACCGAATATTGGAAGGCACCGTTATATGGGGGCTGTTCGAAAACATCTACATGTACAATGTTCCGTCATCAGAGCTGGAACCCACTAATAACTACAAATGCCAATGTTTAGAAAAATCCATAAAAATTGACTAAAACCATTGAAAACGGAATATCGGGAGGTATTGTTATATGGAAGAAAACGTCGAACTATATGTGCAATATTCCGCCACCGGAGCTGGAATCCATTACGTACTACAAATACCAATGTTGGGAAAATCCGTAAAAAATGTGGCTTAAATCATTAAAATGCCGAATATGGGGAGGTATCGTTACAAGGGAGCTATATCATAACGTGGACCGATATACCTCATTTTTAATACCGTCCATCCCAGACACAATACAATTTTGAAGCTATGCATCGAAAAAAGAAACAGTTCGCCATATGCCCTTGTTGGCATACACTTAAGCCAGTATAGGCCTGTTGTAAGCTCTAGACTAAAGGTTTTTTGAATAAAGTCAGTTTACAGTCTGTTATATTCGAAGTTCAGTTGCCTTAATGAAATTACTTAACTGTTTTATATCATTTACCATGATTTTCGCATTTCGCATGCCCTGCATATACTGTTATCTACATATCCTATCTAGTACAGATGAACTTGTATGACCAGATGCTCCGTAAGGATACAAGTAATAAAAGTTCATTCGTTTTTATCTCATTGGGGTCGCCCCATAGGATATCTGTGGTTTTCCCTACGTCTTCATTGTTCCATAGCGATATGTGGCTTTTTCGGCTATGTCTTTAACACTAGATGTGACGCATTTAGCGGAACTGGTTTGTCCAAGTTTATTGTTGCGAATTTTCTACCTGTTTTGGCGAGAGAGTTCGTTATCTTGTTAACGCTAACTCCTGCATGACCTGGTACCCATATAATGCGTACTGAGCTGTATTGAAAGTAGTTGTTGAGTGATTTATACATTCCAATACAGTTTTTGAAGTTACTGTTTGGATGTTATAGCTTTTATAGCGGTCTTACTGTCCGCTAGAACGTTTACTGTAGCCGGTCTCGTATTAGCATTAAGCCAGTTCAGACACTCTACAATCACCCGGACCCCCGCTTGAAGGATTTTAATGTGATCGGACAAGTGGAAAGAGATTACGGTATTTGGTTCTTCAATAAAGAGTCCCGCTCTACCCCTAGCACTGAGCTGAGTATAACAACAGCTTCCAGTCGGCATTTGCGGTAGGAATCCATCGATCCACAAGCCTACGGCAGGAATTAATGTTTCACAGGAGGCAGCTACAATTGTTTGAGATATCCTGTCCGGTACAAAGTTTTTCAATGAACCTCCCGTTGGTATGTAACGTGAACTTTACGTATCCGTAGCCTAATGGACGCGACGGCATCTCTCTAAAGCCTTACAGCACATTCGTTGGACTTTTTGTAATATTTTGGTATTACATTTTTCATCCATTGCTGTTCACCAGACACTGATGCATATGTTAGCACAGGTCAAATTAGCCTATTTGAATAACTAGTGTGTCATATTGGAGTGAAACCCCATTTTGAGCCTATAGGCCATTTACACGTTGCCCAACATCTATGAGCTTTGTTTGCTCTTCTTTGGATGTGGTCTCTCCACTTAAGTTTTCTATCTAGAATGACACCCAGATATATAACGTTATTGGAAATGTTGATAGTATTGTTCAGCAAGACCGGTTCATCGACATGTCTCATGTTTTCCGGGATAACGTTAAGACCTCTCGGTTTTGCCCAGTTGTATGCAAGTTTCAGGGCCGACTCGGCTCTTCTGCACAGCAAGTTAGGTTTCTTCCCCTCAGAAGTATTGTAACGTCATCTGCATAGCAGATTGGTTGCAATCCTTGGTTAAAGTCCTAAGAAGACTGTTTATGGTAGTAACCCACAGGAGGGATGATAAAATCCCCCCTGTGGAATTCCTTGACCGACTTTCTCCCTTATGTTAACGTCATATAGCAACTTATCCATCTATTAAGACATATGGTTTATCCAGTCTCTGAGGTCCGACCTGGAAATTGTCTAAGGATTAGATGAATGTATCTGTGCTGACGTTGTTGAAAGCGCCTTCGATGTCAATGCATACTTCCAGTGTATACATCTATTTATCGAAAGTGCTCTCGATGTGGTGTACAACCTCAGGCAATCCGATTTCCACTAAACGTCCTTTAACGTATGCATGCTGTTTATATTTAAGCATATCGTTTGCAACATTGCTCTTAATCATGGTATCGATTGTGCGTTCCATAGTTTTGAGTAAGAACTATGTTAGACTTATCGGTCGATAAGGCTTAGGTGTTGCGTAGCTTGTCTTCCTAGGTTTGGTTATAAATACTACTCTCGCTTCATGCCAGTCTTTTGGGTATAAGCGAACTTTAGGCACGCGTTGAAAATTCCGACTACATTGGACGAAATATAGTCCACTTCCTTTTGTAGCAGACCAGGGAAGACTATATCTGGTCCAGCTGCCTTAATCAGTTTGAAGCTATTGATGGCATCCTTTACCATCGATTCATAAATTGTTGGTGCTTCCTCGGTCACATTCCCTCTATTTTCCGATATATCTACGTGTGTCGTGATGCTCGGCGGGAAGTGTGTATCCATCAAATGCCGTAAGGTCTCTTCTCTTGTTTCCATTTTGTTACCCATATCATCCACCACTATCTCGGCTTTTATATGAGTTTTTTAAAGAACATTTTTAATTTTTAATACATCATTTATGCTGTCAACCTTGTTCGCAGAAAAGCTTGGTAGCTTTCCCAGAATACTGCTAGTTTTTTACGTCGAACTTTATTGTAAAGCCATCGGGCCTCTTTTTCTTTGTTACAAATTTCCCTTGTCATCTAGGGTTTTTTGTAGGAAAATTTCCTATTGAAAGGTGTCTGTTAACCTATTGGCATCTCTGTCTATGTCATCTATTCTCAGGCATACAATGTTTCCCTGCTGCTGTGTTAGTTCAAATCTTATATACAGATGATCCGAAAAAGAGTGTTCTTCCGAAAGCCTCCAATACTGAAACTCGTTTATAAGATTTTTTGAACAAAAAGGGATGTCAAAACCTCCTCCCTAATTTTATTTACAAAGGTCGCTTTATTCCCAATTTTAAGAATTATTATGTCGTTATTATTTTGGTAATCTTATAGGGCCTGGCCCCTCTTATTAGTGTTAGCCCATGCAATGTTGTGAGAGTTAGCATCGCTACCTATTAGTACTTCGTTACCGGTTTGTTTTGCTTTGCGGCTGGTGACGCTGTAGTAGGTGGTAGCGTCGAACGGTAGGTAAACTGACGCTAGGTATATGTTGCCGTTCCCCTGCCTCAGTACAGTTGCAGCCGATGTAGACAACGTTGGGGAGAAAAGAAAATATAATTTTTTGTGATATATTATACAATAGGAGTTAGTCCAGAGACCTTGTTCTGAACAGT